TCTGCGCTCTCGGCCGCTACAACCTCAGTCTAGTCAGGGTCAAGTCTGCAAAAAAGACTGTCGGTCACCTGCGGTCAGCCTGCGTTGTCACCCACGGGTCCCTGTGGTTACGCGTCTCAGACTGCCACGTTGACCTAACTATTCACACACCCAACACCCACTCCAACCTGCGTATCTCAAGCGCATTAACATCACACCGAGGCTCGCATGCTCCCGTACGCACGTATTTTTCAGATGCAAATAAAACTGTCACGGCAACCTGCCTTTTGTACCGAGTAAATCGTTCCTAACAATTGATTGACTCCTTCCATTAAACGGAACAATCATAGTGTTTGTGGCTAAAGTAGCTCGGTTATCCTTGACCGCAACACTTGGCTTGCTTACTCTTCTCCCATTTTAAGAGCACATGCTCCCCACAGTGCAAACGAACAGCTGTCGAGATGCGGCTACATGCGGTAAATCCAGCAAGCGAACTTGCGGCGATATATTCCGTGTGTACCTGGTGCAGCTAGAGACAGAAACCTCAGCGAGCAGACTGCACGACCTTCCGCCCGCCAAGGAAGATTTACTCAATGCCCTGACACGCATCCGGGACTATTAATTATCAAATACACGTGCAAATCACGTGAATTGCATAAAATACTGAAAGACATGATCCACGCACACCAACCGGCGTCAAATTTAAAACGGCGATTAGCCAATTGCCGTAATAGACCAAAGTTGGGCAAAGTTGCTTGCTCAAAAAGCGCCAAAATTGATGACTAGGTCGATATCAAAATTCCAAAATCCACACAAGCTTCGGAAAAGAACAGTTGGTAGATCCTTCTCATCATTAAGTTATGGACCGTCCTTGGTGAAGATTTTTCTACAAAGTGATGAAACTAGGAAAGTTTATCAGAGTTCAACGAGCAAGCTGAATGATTCCCGTTTGAGCATCCGTTGGTGGAGACTAGAGTCAAAGTAGTTAGTCCAACCAAATACTCCTGTTTTGAAATCGACTAGCACTATGATTGTCTTTAAAGTGCTGAATGACCTTCAAATTCCTCAGGGCAGCTACCTTTTGAAGATGTCAATTAAAGTCTTATTAAAGAAATACTTATACTAAACTTTTGCTAGGATCGTTTGCGGGCACGGAGGAGGACGAGAATGAGAATACTAATATTGATAATAGCAGTGCGAGACCACGATGTGGGTGAGTTATTTTTCGCAAAGTTCCATGGTGGTCAGGGTTAGGCTTAAGATGAGGGCTGAGGTCAAGGCTAGGAATACGTCTCGGGTTAGTGTTACTGCTAGCGTCAAGACACGGGAAAAGCTACCACGTGGGATTCAAGGCAAACCGTCTGCAATACGAGGTTACTTGTTCCCCTGTCAAATTGTATTTGTTTCTACTCAGATTACCCAGAAGGTTTGCCTAAGGTGTTAGTCATTTTAGCCCGGTCCTTCCGACCGAACGGATATCGGACCAACTTCTTGAAGAACTATCCCAGACCTCAGTGACAGTCGCAAATGCACATTACTAATGTAGGAATTGTTCCGCGGAAATGTGTCTCGTCTTCTTATACCACTGAAGCTGTCGTTCGATAAATCACTCGGTTTTGATGTTGCATCCGCCACTAGTCAGCGTCCTTCTCGTGCGCAGCAGTTTTGGTGAGGAGAACAGGTTGCCATAAAGAGCAAGAGCATAATTGAGAAGAAGTAGATGCATTCGTTGGGACAAGACTCATCTTTGGCTGACGTTTCGAAGTCTCTCTGGAACCCATCATCAGTGTCAGTAGCAGAAAAATGTACTTCGTACACAGGGAGTTGCTGTATATATAGGAAGCAGTCTCTATGCTACCTTATACCCATAAAAGTTAACGGCTACCATCTATCAAGAATATTTGCCCGCGTAGGCGCTTACTGCTCGATGGCTAGCGTGCGGGTTATGACCTCAGGAAACGTAATCCCTCCAGGTGAATTTTGGCTTGATAAGTGTTCGGCCATCTGCTTCACCGAAACTGGCGCTGGAAGGCGTGTTCGCCTGGGCGCTCCCCAAGTGGCGAACCATGACCCAAACAACTCGCGACTCACACGACTATCACCTCTCGCGAGAATTTTGGCCTCATCCAATTTGGACGTGTGCGCGGGTCTCGTTGAGTGAGCCGCAATTTGAGGACTGGTGTCAGTTCTCTTCACTGCTGCCACGTGTTTGACCATGTGAACGCGAATATTTCCTCGATAGAGGGATAACCATTAATTTTTTATAGGTATGCAGTAACATAGTGACTGCATCCTAGAGAGACTGCAACGCCCTGTGTACGAACTACCCGTCCTTGCTACTGTCCCTGACGATGGATTCTATAGGGAACCCAAAACGTCAGGCGAATAAAACTCTTTTTTCTAGTGATTATATCTTCTTCTTCTGAATTACTTTCTGAGCGTTGCATTTTCGCTTGAATCGGCAAAAGAATAATGTCAGTTACCGCATCTCTTGTACTAACTGCTCTTGTGAGTCGTACGAGTTGACGCTCTGAGATTGATAGTAACTAACACAAAGTGGATATCCGCTGGCACATTTCCTTGTAATTCGGCGTTGCCCACCTCTTTGTAAACGATCACAGTTTCAAAGCATGTACCGTTAAGGATCATGGCGTAGCAAATTTCTTAAGACCTTTTAGTTAGCGGAGGCGGTACCAATCGTAATATATTTTCGTACAGACACAGTGAAGCTTGGCTCACAAACGCTACTGGGTTTCAGTATACACCGCAAACAGCAACCAGTTTGCGCTTATCTAAAAATTCAGTTTGTCGTTATGTCCTCTTCCCGGTCAGCAATCCGCAATCACGCCAGCCTAATTCCCAGTGTAGGTTGCAAACATTGAACTTCTCGCCTCTTGCGCCTGCTTGCACCTGCGTATCAGTGACCGTTGATCCAGACTGTCCTAACTGGACAAGCATATTTAACGCTGACTCACACATAACCTCGCTGGAGTTGATGTGAGGACTCCTACGCTCTCACACTTCGGACGCCGTCCTCCCGGCTCCCGAGGTGCTCTAGTCCGACTGTAAATCTCTTCCAACCTATTCTCCACCAGTTCTCTACGGAATACACTATTCCTTCCAACTGACGTCTCATTTCTTCTCTTCCCATACGAAACGAAGCCAGAAGGTCGTAGCGGATAGGGTCTCCCCGATAACTTAGCCTGCCACGATAAGCCCACCGGCCCAAAAGCAACAACTAGTCGGCGCCTATCAAGCTGCAAACCCATTGTCTCATAACTTCTCCAACCAATTCAGGGATTAGCAGTTACACTAGCCCTCTAACCCCTTATCCTGGTGCCCCTACTGCCACCTACTCCGGACGTGCGGAGTCTTTATGTAACCCCATGCCCCTAAGAACAACTTCAATCTACTCCATTTGCTACTGGTAATTTCTTTTAAAGCCTTGAGACTGAGAATTCACGAATATAAGTCAATTTTATTGAAAAACATGGTTTTATTACCTAGACTCGGGACGCATAATGCCTCAATTCTGTGCACATGAATATGTAGGATATTTATTGTGATAAGTAATCAAACAAATAGGAAAACTCTTGAGAAATCAGGAAGAAGGAGAAGCAAAAAATGATGCCTAAATCTGCTTTTGGCAATCACAGACAGGCGTAAAAGAGGTATAGGTCAGTGCAAAAAAAGGGATCAGGGTTCCTCTTCGCGGCAATTTACAGGCTTGGGTTAATGCAGGATTTGAGCAGCTCAATGGCGGAATTGATTGTTGTTTTGCTGTCTTCCGGTGATCCGAGCGCTGGATTGACTTCCACTAAATCAACAGCTTTCAGCAGTCCTGTTAATAAAAAAGGATATTTTGACTGACAATGGGTTAAGAAGGCATTTTACAACAACATTACATCGGGCATCAGGAGATCAATTGACGTCACCAGATGGCTGTATGGCTGATTCCTTTCCACACAACAATCAGTATTTTTTACCTTTCGGGGTAAAATGTTTAAAATATTGACATTCGTGAAGAAGGAAACACGAGTACCAGAACAACAGCTTTATTATCCCGATGGTTCGGATCCTCTCTCAAACCCATCCTCAGAAAAAAATTGCAGAAACTCGCTTTTTCGCTTCTATTACCACAATAGACAGTCTTGGAGGCAATTATAAACAAGGGGATTTGTGGGCTCTAAGGGATTTTGCCAATTGGCTGTCAATTGCTCTGTATCCGTACATAATATGGACGCCGAATAATAGATATATACATATCTTTAAATAAACGTGACGGTGTCAAATTCACAGCTTAAAAGGCTCAGTCTGCTTGACGAAAAGGGCCAGTTAAAATTGCGAAACATCATGGCTCCAAGAAATTAGTGAATCATGTAAACTTTTTTAAATAACCGGCTAGTTAGGAAAAAATAATCCACATTAAATGCGACTGTTCACCTGTCATGGCGAGACTCCTACAAATGTGTTTGCCTTCGTCCAAAGTCAGTCCGCCAGGTACGGGGGTTCCGGTACTGTTAGCGAATTTGGGGTCGAGGCCATCGATGTCAAAACTGAGGTGGATGTTACAGTTCTTTCTACAAATGGTTGAATATAAAACAGCCATGAGTGGAAGAATCTCCAGCGGTAGTGGAACATGTCTGTGCTATGCTAACTGTGAACGAATCTGGGAATGCAGAGAGGAAGAGAGCAAAGCATACCAACAATGACGCAAACTAATACACAATATAAACCACAAATGATGAAATTTATATAAGTAATAAAGGTTTCTTATAATGCATCTCAGGCGTCTGCATTAACTTACTGTTCAGAAATTGCCTTAAGGGTCAGTTCCACGACCTTTTCGATGCCGATTTCCCTCACATCAAGCATATTGAAGTAACGAATATTGTACTCCTTCAGATACTCCCTAAAGTGTATTGCGAATGGCATGAATTAACATACCGAAATTTACTCGTTTGAATAAAAATAAAACGTTTTTAATTTATCATGACGGAATAAGTTTCTGCTCAGGAGTCGTGAACCGTGTTCAAAAAGGAGCACAATTTTGACGAGGCCTTTAACTTCTATCTGATATACGTAGGGTCAAGATGTCAGCTCTGGCCAAATCAGCGTACATCTGCTTCTCCAGTTGATCCTGCTGTTGAAGTTAACTGTATCGAGCCAGCTGACACAAACGAAAAAAGATACCTCGGATTTACAAGTGTAAAAGTCAGACTTACCCTAGTAAATCTGATAGAAACAGCCACTAAGAGACATCTGAGGAACCTGCGGGGTCGTCTAATTGTTTTCGACAGACCTCAAGTCACGTCGTTCGCACCAAATTGCAATGGGGCGCTGTCCATCAGATTACGATAGTTATTATCATTTGTGTTGATTCCCAACAGCTACAGGGCACAAAATGCCACAGCAAGTTCGCGCACTGCCTCAAAATGCTGTTTTTTTTCAAGTAATCGCATTAAGTTTTTTTATTATCTCGTGCTTATAGGAAGTTTCTTTTGTATTATATAGGTATAACGGTTCTTTCCCACTAGTAAGTTCGTACAGGGTGTTACAGATGTAACTGACCCTTTTGATTTGCTAATAAAAACGAAAACTATTAATGCTAGGATATTGAAACTTGTTTTATTCGAAAGAAAACCCTTTTTAGAATTTGGTGCAATGAAAATCCAAGAGAAATTCAAGAAAGGCCGCTGCATTCTATTCGTGTCGCGGTGTGGTGCGGAATAACTGCTTCAAATGTGATTGGCCCATACTTTTTTGATGGCGCAACAGTAACAGTTG